TGTCTGATACCTGAAGTGGAGGTTACTAGTTCCTGTCACCTGAAGTGGGCCTACTATGATCTGACACCTGAAGTAGGGGTTACTAGTTTCTGTCACCAGAAGTGGGGTTACTAGTTGGGCTTACTAGGTCCTGTAACCTGAAGTGGGCTCACTATGATCTGGCACCTGAAGTGGGCTTACTAGGGCCTGTTACCTGAAGCGGGGGTTACTTGGATCTGATACCTGAAGTGGGGTTACTAGGGTATGACACCTGCAGTGAGGGAATACTATGGCCTGGCACGTTAAGCGGGGGTTACTAGGTCCTGTCACATGAAGAGGGCTTACTATTGGGTCTGACACCTGAATAGAGGTTACTAGGGTCTGATACCTGAAGTGGGGGTTACTAGGGTCTGATACCTGAAGTGGGTGGTTACTAGGGCCTGTCTTCTGAAGCGGGGGTTACTAGGGCCTGTCACCTGAAGTGGGGGTTACTAGGGTCTGATATCTGAATAGAGGTTACTGGGGTCAGACACCTGAGGCGGGGCGGGGTTACTAGGGTCTGACACCTGAGGCGGGGTTACTAGGGTCTGACACCTGAGGCGGGGTTACTGGGGTCTGACACCTGAAGTGATATTACTGGGGTGTGATACCTGAAGTGGGGTAACTGGAATTTGAGACCTGAAGTGGGGTTACTAGGGTCTAACACTCAAATTAGGCTTACTAGGGGATCTGACACCTGAAGTGGGTTTACTAGTGTCTGTAATCTGAAGTGGGGTAACTATCATCAAATATGGGCTTACTGGAATCTATATACAGTAGTGGAATCTGTATGGCCTATACCAGGAGTAGAAATTAGGTAGTGTCTAACGAAAGGTGTGTCAGATAAACATGTGGTACAATGTTCGACAATTAAAGTAAATTTAGCGATATCATTTGCCATTTTTTAAATACATGTACCATGTACCATTTACAATGTCACTATGTTATGTAAAGCTTAACTTTATTGTTACTGAGCTTTCGATTTATCATGATTCGGATGTAGGACGTTTCGGTGGTTTAGTGTTTTTACATGGCTTATAAAACATTCAATATATTTCCATTATATGTGAATTTCCTTATTTCACGCTGTTATGTGTTTCTCTTGTAAAGCGGGGTTCAGCATACTTCTAATAAACATTGAGATACAAACATGATTAAAATTAGATGTTTCGTAGAAGAAAAATCCCACATGTACATCCCATTCAGGAGTAGAATGTATTCTGTGTTCATATCGAGTTTTACAAAAGACGACGACGTACATTATTTATTTTCTAATCTAAGATCATACGTACAACAAAGAATAAGTGTTAATATTTCAATTTTTAATTTAGTCTGTTGGAATATGTGTCATTTTTGTCAATATTCTCAATAACCATGTCAGTACAGAAGGTGATAAGGTGATATTCAGATGGTGACATCGGGATAACGACGCATAGTGTACAATGGTTGTCCCAAGGCGTTGGCCAAACTGCCAAGCCCAGAGAGCAAACAAGTGAACTCAGGTATATGTATCTGTCTAGTATAAAGTAACATGTCTTTTTATAAGGTAAATCACGTGATCCAAATTGATACATCACATGACCCAAAACACATATTGTGATAGGACAGCATTTCAACACACCCGCATAAGTTTCCCGAAAATACATTGAATAAAAATACATTGAATAAAAAATACATTGAATAAAAATACAAAAGTGATTTTAACACCTCTACATCGTGGTTAAATGCTTTACAGGCTGAAACGTCGCAGGTGATAATGTTTTACGAATAATAACAATACACGTAGTGTCATGCACTGTCAGCTGCCCCTATACAACGTACTTGCTAAAAGGGACACGGATTTTGTTTTAGAAAAGCACGCCTGTTGATAGCAATGTGAAGATACGCTTGATATTGTTTCAATACAAGAATCACCCGTGGGAATTCTGACAACGCCCATGATGGGTGTCCGTACGAGCGATATGACATATGGTTAGATAGAATCAGTGTATGTAAAACACCAAGGTTGAAATATCCGCCCACCCTTATCAGTCTGGAATTCACCCTGTGGATGTGCCGGTGCCTATAGTGGTTTCTATAGTCGAAACAAATCCAATAGCAGGTACTATACAATTTTCGTTCGGAATTTATTTTCTTTTTTTTTCGCTGAAGGATAAAATCCAGCGAATATGCATGTAGTTCGTCGCGATGATTTCGTATAGAAACCATCCTTGTATCATGTGTTGTTGTACCAGTATAGTGATATCAATCTGCTAGCATGACTGCGTCTTTGATATTAAATTTCGTTGGTATTTGACCACCATGTTTGTGGCAGTAGGTCAAAACCACGTGAAATTTAATACATTCGTAAATCATGCATTCGTGTAAACCCTAGGTCATTTACATGTCATTATATGTTTCACGCCATTTGAACCGTTTTAATACAAACTGTAATGTAGCCTGCAGCGCAGTGCAATGTTATGATTTACCGTGATGTACTAAACCATGTCACAAAGTAACTGCAAAGTAATCTCTCAATTATGTAGAAATGAAAACGAAAAGACATAAGATGAAATGGCCGCCTCTTGTACATAAATATGTCAGTATTATCTATCGTACAATCCTTCCTATAAATTGACGTTTCCGTATTTTAACTGATTTTCTAACTTGGTTCGGGCAGTTGTTAACATTATATCGCATTACGGGGATTCAAAATGGTGTGTTAAAGCATAAACCTTAAAATACACATTTTAAAGTCTATGGTTAAAGTCGACATCTGTTAAAACTGTTAATTAAAACTTGTTTACAGTGACTACATTGAAACGTGATATCACGTGACAAACCATTAATCGTACAGTAAACAGCAGACGGAATGTTATCTATAAGCCCAGAAGACAGAACTTCAAGCCTGGTCTCAGTTTGATTACAGCTTGACACGGAAAACTCACACCGTGAAAGCTGGTTGTCGAACTCAGTCACAGCGTTCCCTTCCTCTTCACATTAATTGTCATTTATTTGCATGCCGAGATATCCAGGGTATACATACAACAGAATACGTAACCAAACAGAGTCCTGCTGATTTCCGTTTTAACCCGTGTCTGCAATCCATTGGTGTCAGTGTACAGAGCCAGTCTACGTTCGTTTTTACGACTGACTTACAAAATGACTTCTAGATTTACTGTGGTGTGTTGGATATGCATCCTAGCAATATGCTTTACTGGTAAGTTGATGTTTATGTTATTTCCATGGTAACATTGTTAGATTGTCATTCCAGAGACACTATTTACAGCGTATTAGCGTCGGATCTCTAGTACAGTGTATGCTTCACATAGTGGGAACAAAGTGCTTGTGGTGGAATAACGGTCTATGTTTTCAAAAACTCTTGAGAACGCTTTGTAAAGTAAACACTTTTGAACACTATAAACGAGCTGTGTGGAACACATCCCAAATTGCCCATAATGCACTATGATTTATACTATTGGACATTGATTTCTCTAAAAGTGTTTTTATTGACATTAACGTTCTCGTGTGAGTACGATGAATATTAGTAGTTTTATACTGTCGATTTGCTTATCACATAGTATATAGCACAGTGGCGGAACGTAAGCAGTAAAATACCCACAAATTACAATAAAATAAACCATGACGACAAATTCAGGCCACTATGGGCCAATATATGCGAAATGTTTTGAATCTAAACAGCTTCCTAGACATTCATGTTATATAATGACCTTCCCAATTCTTGGATTTTAATTTTAACTGTTTGTTTTTTGTGTGTGCATTATATTCATTCTAATGGATGTTAAAAGATTAAATAAATAAACAAATAAGTGGATGCAATTCGTCAACTGACATGAGCGCAATTCGAGAGTACAACCGTACCTCGTCTCTGCAACGTTCCGAATACAGCGACAGTGTGGAGTTATGTAATACAAACAATTAAACCATATTACATATACTTAGATATATGGTTACTCTGACTCCAACACCAACTTAGTTAACAATTTAAGTTATGCAAAGGGAATGTGCGCAACAGCGACATCTGTTTAACATTCCAGTGACCTGCATACAGACAAACTGGATATAAGTACATAATGTATACATCTACACCGTTTTTTTCTAATCAAATTAAATGCTATCACAGCATGGTTCGCCTAGCAACCGACAAGGTCGCGAAAATACTCACTTTTATGTTGCAATTGTAATCCATTTATAAACTTTGGATTTGTCGGTTACTGCTTTTAAGAAAAAAAATCTGAAAAGAAAACGGTGGTAGCCTATTTCGAAAAACTATACCATTTTTAATGGGAAAGGGAAACGGTGCACGGCAAGAAAATAATATGACCCGCATAATATGAGCAAAGGTTAAATACTTCCATGGTAACCGGGGGGGGTAGCTACTGGTGGGCATCATGTTGCTCGTCGGATCAGACAAGAAACTCTTGCCGTAAATAGTTAGCACAATTTCCCTATAAAACAGATGCAGAAGCACGTCACGCATTGAAATACATGGAGTCTCAATTCTGTATGTACGTTACATGTTACTCTTCAAATCAGATAAGAATGTCTTGTCGTAAGAGGTGAGCACAATTTTATCGAAATAGATCAAGGATTTGAAATCGGGGATGAATCTTTTCACGTACACAGATTTCTAGAACATTTTGTTTACAGTTTTCTGTTTCAATTTTCGTTATATGTATTTGCATACAATGTAGAACTGACCTATATGTATTTCACTGCCTACATACAGTATTCCCAACCCCAGGACACCCGGGTTACATGTCGTCCAACGAACAACTAAACAAATGTGAGAACATTTTCTAAGTACCATGGCGTAAAAACAGCCATTTTGACTAGTTCTACTACATAAACATATCAGTTTTCATGTACGTGTATACAGTGTTGTGTAATTTGATGCAAAGTCAGTTGATGAACATCTTTTAGGGTCCGAGGGTGTGCATAGCCTGCCAAGGTTGCGTGAGTTGCGCCATCCGCGGTGCTCCAACCCAATGATGCCGTTCGGCCGGCGATGGCGCCACTCACGCCCACATGTCAGGCAAGGGTGTGCACTAATCGAAGGTTCAGCCTAATGACTTGTATGTTTGTTTATTGTATTATAATTGCTTTATGATATTTGTGACGTATGCGTAAGCACAAAATCTGTTGTAGACTACTGACCGTTCTGACGATTAATGCACGAATATATTGACCCATGAGTGTGAGAATCTGATTAGCTGGTGAGTCAACGATTTATAATAATATATTACATTATATTATCAATTTATACAGGTGTTCTAAGTACTGGGTCAATCCAGCACAAGTCAAGGTTGTATGGAGATTTATTGATGTCTTACCACAAACTGATCTCTCCGCAAGATGGGAATGAGACACAATTGGTTGTCAAGATGGCGTTATCAGTAGGAAGATTATATAATATTGTAAGTATCGACTCAGTGGGCCACGTTGTGTTGTTCGAACTTGTTACTGATCCACAATCGATCCATCATCTGGATATATTATGTCTATGCAAAATGTGCAAGGGGTCGACTATTTAAAACAATAGGAGTGTCTGGAGATTTGCAAGCTAGACAGACACTATAAGAATACATGCAAGCAAGCTGTTGTGAGACTATTCAATACAGATAATAATATCAAGATAACACATCAAGAAAAAATCTACTAGTCACTCCCCCAGGATTTCAAATGATTGACTTTTAAAGTGGTGTCCTTTTTCGATAGACTGCCTTCTCGCGTGAACAAAAATCAATATCACAGCGGGTGCCGAAAGTACTCAGGTTAAACGGCATTTCCCTCTTATTCACCCTTGTTATGTTGCCATAATTCTAGGAACAGTATTTGTTTGGGCTTCAGCACTTTAAATCTCGACAAGCCCGCGCTCCCACATTTCGAACGGATGAATCGCCTGAGGCGGGAACATTTGAACACAGTTGATCGCAAGCATACAATTCCATTTTAAATTAGTGCACCCCATCAAATATATTGGGAATATCGACATGCAAATGAGTGTTGTTAATTTTGAAAAGTTAAAGGGCGGTAGTCGTCGCGCCATGCATGCGCGAGATATATGGGTCTCATATAAACAAAGATTGCGACTTTGGTTGTACAAACTGAGGCATTACCAAGCTTTAATAAGGTATTTTTTTAGATTGGAAGATATCGAAGGAGTCAGCGGCGGTAATTAGTGCAAGGCGCGCCCAGGTCAAACCTTATACTTGTGATTTCCATTACAAGAGCGCATTGGATTATGGGAAAATCGATGTTTATCAACAAAAATGTCGCACATGCGCAGTGCGACAACTAAGCCCTTTAATTGCAAAGTCATAAAACCACTGGCAGTGTTCCAAACAATATTACAATGTTGCATAAATTTACTTTAGTTCATAAAAATATTTGTAAATATCTTCAGCTTTCATTCAAATATCCTTGCCCAATAGCTCAACATCGTCATCGCCAATACTGTGCATACAACCTTCAATCATATCTGAATATGACGTCATAGGGTCTCCCAATTATAAAAATTGAAATGTTTGCTGATTATACAACCTTTTACCATTGCTTAACTGATCAGTCATGTTTAATTTAGAAAATGTTATATTTATTAAACATTTATGACGCCAATGCCTGTCAGTCACACACTGTAATATTTACTAGAAATATAATACTGCAGCAAGTAATGCAATAAGCTGGTATTTGTTACTCAACCAATAACAAGCTATATCATTGTAGGATTTACACAGTCCTGGGCTTTCTAAGCTGAGCGGTTGGTTCGCAAAGATTTATACTAAAAAGGTTATTACGAGAGTGCCGCAAAGTATGCACTTGAGCCCTGCAACCTTTACAAGAAATAAGAATTTGTTTACATTCGCTAGTCTTAGAAAAAATTGAGTCAATAATTTGGCAAAGTAAAATAGTTTGATTTTCGCCATTAATCCCCTTATCAAATATTTACGCATTTTTTCAAGAATAACGCCGGAATACGCGTCGTGGTGTATGCATTCTGCTTCTATCAGGGGGAAAATCTTCTCCCCGGGGTTCTCCACACTTGTCAGGGGGAAACTCGTCTCGTCTCTATATCTCGTCCCCTTGAGGTACGGGATCGGGAAAGTCACTTTAACTTTACAGTCAAATAAGACACACACAACGAAATACGTTTCAGCTCTCGTCTTAGTCGGTCTTTTGGAGCACTCTATAAGACACAGCGCCCTGGGGAAAAGTCCCCAAGACTCTCGCAAGGCTGAACCAAGACTCGCCCAAGACTGGACTGCCTCAAGGCTCGCCCCTGGACTCTCTCGGACTGCGTCTGTCGTGGAGTATTCGCCAAGACCAACTCAAACTCTCTTTATTCATTTTCAAAACTCTGACCAATTACAATGCAGTAAAAAGACTCTAGGGCGTAACCTTCAATCATAAAGCCAATCACACTAAGTACTGAATACGTCATATCTTTTGATTAATCGTTCACTACATTAATAACTACGGATGTCAGAATAGCGACGGTATCTTGTAATTAGTTCCAAATCACTGAGCCAAGTTCCGTCCAAAACTTCAAATAGACCTAAACGATGACAGATATAACACAGCAATTCGCTAATAATCAGCTAATTAAGTCGGTTAACAGATACGCAAAAACAAATTCATGACACTTCTCTCACAGGCTTCGGCATCGTCCGATTAGCCGGTTTCAGTTCCATGGCCGTTTCTTTTGCAATGTTTGGGTTCATACAATTGAACATACGACAAAGAGGTGTTTTGTGGGTAATACGTTTGAAGTACTGCCTCCAGCAAAACAACACGTTGTCTCTGGTGTTACGCACCAACAATCTCTGAATATTGGATTAAATATTCAAATAGAACGAAACTCTGATATACAAGAACCATACGTAAATAGCCCATGCCCTGTCATGGTGAAAAACGATGCTAATATTGAAAAGGTTAGAAGGCCCATGCCTAATGTCCAACATGTAGGCGATTAATCTCCCCAATACTAAGCTTGATATTCGGTTACAGAAATGTTAAAGGGCGGTGGTCGTCGCGCCGCGCACGTGCGACATTTGTGTTGATAAACATTGACTTCCAACAATCCAATGCGCTCTTCTAATTGAAATCACAGTTATGTATATTTATGATCAATTATAGACTAAATATGACCAATCATAGACTAAATGTGATCAAAGATAAACTAAATATGATCAATGATAGTGTAAATGTGACCAATCATTGACTAATTGTCGCCAATGATAGTCTAAATATGACCGATATTAGACGAAATGTGATTAATGATAGACTAAGTATGACCAATGATAGACTAAATATGACCAATGATAAACTAAATATAACCAATGATAGACTAAATATGACCGATATTAGACTAAATGTGACC